AGATCGGTCCAATGATTGCTGCAGGAGCTAGAGCTAAAGAGTTTGTATCTTATAGCATGCTTCAGGACTTCCAAGATAATTTCTGAGCCAACGAATCCACCTCTGGTATCTTTTTCCATGTCCTTCTTCCCTTTGTCTCTCCTTTCCTCTCCCTTTAAACCATTAAAATTCATGAGTGGGTGTACCTTGTACTGTATCTATTACAGTAATATGTTCCCCTATCTCCTCCTCCTGATGTTAACCATAGTAGTTTGAGTGCTGGTAAAGGTGTACGATGTCATCTCTGGGTTTGTCCTATAGTAATGCCTAAGATCTATGCTCCTTTCTCCACATTCTCTGCTACTGTGTAGACCAGAGAGCACCTTGGTGGGAACACTGGAGGGGCATGGGCATCACCAGTCTTCTTGACAACACAGTATATTTGGAGAAGAAGAAATACACTAGCAGTCACTAGAGCCTACATAGAGTTTTCACCAAACCAATTATTATGCAGCAAAACCTTAATGTTAGACATTGAGTGCAGAGGCAACTGTAGAGTGGAAGGCTGCATGGTGTACCAGGCATTGAGGGCATACTTCAGTTTATTACTTACTGTGGTACGAAAATGGAAATTTAATAAGAGCCCACGATACTGGAGGAACAGCACAGTTAGGGGCATAATTACTCTTTTGAATGGAGGTACAGGTATGTTTGATTTGTTAGTTTATTTGGTACATGGATGAAGGGGATTATGCTCTGGGTACCGATAACCTGGGTGTACTGAAAGGCTCAAGGGAGTGGTAACAAAATATAGAGGGTTAAATCCTGGCCCCATTTAAGTTAATGGAAAAACTCCCAATGGGGCCAAATTTTCAAACAAAACCTTTTACCTTAGTTCAAAACCAGGCCAAAAAGTGCTGAAAGTTCTTACCATCTGACGGCTGCTCAATAGCCTATGTGAAATGACTCTATTGTCAGTGGACAGCAGTTCATATTACAAAAACCACCACTCTTTGCACTAGTTGGCAGTTTCAGCATAAAGGCCAAGGGCTATGGAGATGATGTTGCCAGTTAAGGATTTAGGACAACATGGAGGAGGATGTTTTCCATGTTGTACCTGTTTTGTAGCTAAACAAAGGAGCTTGTTGCTCAGGGCTGTCCATCTGGCACCATTCATACGCACTCAAATATTCATACAAATCAATTCTTTGGGTGATGAATTAGAGTAAACAGGCCTACACATCATGGCTATGAAGTAGCCACTATCAAGATGAGAAATTGATAAGCCTTTCTGTATCTGGGTGAAAATGCTGTCTGTCCAGCTAATCTATCTTTCTAGGCATTTATACCCCAGTCATCACTGTGGTATCTGAGCACCTGATTTTGGGTGGTAGGGGAAAAGCCTGTAGGTGGAACTTGTAGAATAAAGGAGTAGCTTCAAGAAGTCTGGTCAAGAGCTTTATCATTCTCTCTTTGTTCTCAGGAGAGCCCTGTTTACACCTCTTGATTACAATGTCCACTATCTAGGTCAGCAAAGTTATCAAACACGTATCCAATATAAATAAATTATATAGTATGCATCAAAAGCAATGCACATTACTGAAGGAGAAGGACAAGTGACTTTATACGCCTGCCTCCTACGGTCATAAGTAAGGGAATCTTTGAGTACAATTAAAATCCTTGGGGCCAGGTTCAAAGCTGCTGACAATGGTTATGTTAGTTACTCAATGGGAGTCAGTGTAAGCCAGTGTGGTCCAGATCCACAACTGGTGTAAACTGGTAAAGCTCCACAGAATTCACTGTAGTCAAAGGAGCTACTTCAATTTACACCAGCTGAGGATCTGGCCTTAGGAGTCAAAGGTGGTGTAACTTAAACACGAAAAAGACAGATGCAAGGATTTGTAACAGAAAAAGCAACTAACAGGAAGGTGTAAGACCGCTCCCCTTTCTAGGTTTCAAAGCCCAAGCCACAACTTCTACATGCTGTCTATAAGGCTATTTTTAGAGCCCTAGCATGAGCCCTGCAAGCCCAAGTCTGTCCACCCAGCCTCCGTCTTGCTCACTCCAAAATGCTGTGTAGACATACCCAAGAGAATTACAGTGGTGCCTGAGAGGGGCAGAAGTGATATTAGTTTGAAAATTTGTTTGAACTTTCATTTGGACTTATTTGTGTTACCCAGAAGGGGTTTAGACTTCATGTGATTGGCTGAAGGGCTAAGCCACGGAATACCCAAAGGGGGAAGATGAAGGCTGGGAAGGCTGAGGGAGAACCCAGTGGGGTGAGATGACAAAAAAAGGCCCTATGCAATGCTGCGACCAGAGACGAGGGGGTGCCCATGAGGTGATGATGCATTATTACAAACACCTATTAGGTTCATCTTCAGAATTTGCTCTTTTCCTTCATTTTACCTTATTCTACTAAAAAAACAACAACAAATAATCAGAACATTGCAACTGGTCAAGAGTTTTTAATTCTCATTTCTTATTGCTTCAGAAGATTAAAAGCAATCATCTGTGTTAAGTACAATAAAGGCAGACTCATCAGCACAGTGCTAAAGCTCTAGAGTATCATTTTCTTTTATAATGTAACCTCTTGAAGTGCTTGTAACCTATAAATAATCCTGCATTTTACAAAAACTCCTCTATGAAAAATAGCACTGGACTGGGATTTAGCTCTTGAGACTATTTTTAAAGTTTGTAATTAAAAAAATAATTTTAGATTAAAATAATACCATTATTATAATGGCTTACCACAAGTACTGTGTTGCTTAACAACTCTTTCAACCAGTTCCTCCACCTATTTCATATGAGACAAAGTCGTTTTTAACACAGGGAAAATACTTTGATGTGTATTTCTGGGATCAGTGGAATTTTTCTTCTTAAACAAACTTAGTATTGGTCTTTGTGTCTATTTTTTCCTTGGGTGAGGTTGTCAGCTGGAATCTTAAAACTGAAGCTTTGAATAATTTGTAAGGATGTTGTGATAGACAATTCATATTTCAAATGTAGTTTGGATGGTATAGTTTGTCTGAAAATAAATAGTTATGATAAGCCATAGGACTGTGTCACAGTGGCTTTAGAAACAATGAAAGGTTAGGATTTAGACTTGTGCCTTGTGTAATAGCACTTAGTGTTTTCCCTTATATCCAGAAGGTCATAGGAGGAAGTTCTTGATCTAGGCCTGTGTTATATGAAACCATATGCTGCTGAAATCTTATAGCTTTGACCTTATATATCAAGTCATAGTCTGAAACAAGAGTTGTAACAAGAGTTGTTGCTCTTAATTTAGGAAATATATGAGGCCTCAGACATAGTTACCAATAACAGCTCTTTGCAACTACAGTAAAAAATAAAGAAGGGGGAGAAAAATAAACAAAAATACTAGCAAAATATAAGGAAAGAGGAGAAAGAGACAGTGTCTTCAAATCCTCCACACACCTTCTCCTTTCACTACACAAAATGAAAAATGGGGAGAGGGAAAAACAGACAGAAAATAAGGAATGTGAAGATATTATTAAAGGATTATTTTATGCAGATACCACTACAACTGAGACTTAGAAGCACCTAATAGACTTACAAATATTTGTATCTGCTGAAACTCTAGATCGCTTCCTTTTATGTGTTCCTTCAGGAACTCATGAGGATCACAAAACAAATTAATTAATGTTTCTGTAATTTGTCCACTTTGGTCACTGTCTCTGCTATATCAAAATATAGCTTCCTGGAATACTGTGTAGTACCTAAATATAAATCTGATATTGTTCCTGAGTTCCAGTATTTTAGCTCAAAGACCTTTAAACATGGGACCAATACCATAGGGTATGGTCACCCTAAAAATACCTTGGGTTCCCCATTAAAAGGAATGGATGTCAGCTGGAAATCATGTCAAAAAAGCACTAAAAGCTCACCAGATGAAGAGGACTGCAAATATTGTGCATGTCAAGTAACTTAGTGAAAGAGAAGAAAGAGCTTCAGTGCTGCTAAAGATGCTGGGAAAACATCCCTATGCCCACAGTATTTGAATACCTTTCTGGAGGAGGAGGGGTATTTGGTTCTACTTGGTCAGTAGAGATACTAGGTTAGATATGGCTGAAGCTCTACTCATTGTTGAGTGAAAACAGTGGATCTGTGCCCAATTATGCCATCTGTGAATTTGACCATAGGGAATAGTCTGATGGCTTCCACAGGTGCAGTGAGGACAACAGTACCTCTGCCCTATCCAAGTAAACTGAAACATAAGGAGGGCATTGTGTCACAGGAGATTATCTTCTACGGTTGCCAGATATTATTTTCCAAACTTAGGGTTGCATAGAATGCAAATTGCAGGGCCTCCAACCTATTAAAAACAGCACTCAGATAATTAAAGGATGGAGCCAATGATCTTATTTCCAACCAAGTTAAATTAACCTCAAATACAAAATATACACACACCCACCCTGACATGTTAATTTGGAATGTAAAAGTCCGCACGGAACTGCTGCAGGGTGAGGCCAGGGATCTTCGTACCAGAGGCACATCCTATGACACAGCCTGTGAGGACTACTTGACCCACCTTCTGACTTTTTTGTTAGTGTTGTGTTCATTGTATAATATCATTTGATAGCTTTTTGTCTTAGTTTAGCTTGGCACCTTTTTATGATCAGTAGTAGCACTTTTAATAAAACAAACTGGTGAGATGAGGCACTCGCTGCCCCAGTAAAGAATACTATTTCATTTATTGCTATACTCTTCCATGCTTTGTTAGAAGATCCCCTCAAACCTGGAGGCCCCATACCACCCACCTACCTCAGCGTGTGTGCATGCATGCAGAGACTTGATTAGTGGATCATACAAGGCAACTATTTTAGCTGCTTATCTGCTGTGGTCAGGAAAAAATGCCCTCCCTCCCTTCTCCTAATATAAGATATTGCCTAATTGGTTAACTATTTTTTTTACTTTAGATACAAAAAATATCGGTCACTGCAGGAAGCATGATGAGTTGGACCATGGACTGATCTGTTATGAAAAATCCTTGTACTTACTAGCCGAAAATTGCAGGATGTGAGGAGAGTCTTCCTTGTTATACCTGTAAAAAAAAAACAAGATACAGGTGTGGTTTTAGGAGGTATAGAAGCCTGAAAACATCCCTTACCACAGTTGGTTTCCATACTCAATAATCATCTTCATTCCTTTTCCTTGTACGACATTTGGTTTTCAATAGACATGGGATCCACTCTTCCAAAAGCCACACCCTCCACTTCAGAATATAACAGAAGCTCCTGCCTGTTTTTATTCCACATGCTGAAATAAGACACTGCAGACAGCCTGTGAGCCATCCAACAAATACTTGGGCCTGAATACCCCATTCCCTGATACGCTACAGGGAGATCTCCCAGTCCACAAAAGGGATAAGAACGCATGCTAAACATAGCTTACAAGAAAGCAAAATTTAGAGCAGTCAAACCCTCTAAACTGAAATTCAGGAAGATCCTCTTTCAAATAAGTGGGTGTGTATGGTTTAGATGATACACTAAGTAGGGCTTTTGTCCTACATGAAATTCCAGTTTCCTCTCAGGCATCAGCTACATTCCAGTAGTAATAAGAAGTTCAGATTCACAGAAAACTGACCCTTCGGCTCTCACCAATAGGGAAGCCTACATGGTTAGTACAGATCTACTGTCATGCGAGTCTTTACGCAACACTGGAGATACCGTGCTATTCCAAAGCAGGACATGATCTATAAACACATTGTAAAGTGAATGTCACTGACTAGGGTACAAAGGAACAAAAAACACGGAGCCCTTTACCTCAAAGCAATCTGCTAGGAAAGACAGTTATTCCCTGCTTGCCTGCAATTGATCAGCATCGTGTGCGTGAAAGAGGGCCAATCAGAAAGATTTTTTAAAATGGGATTTTCTGGGAAAGGAAGCAAGAGGGTGTGTGGGGCAGCTTGAAGCACAAACACTGGGTCTTTTCCAAAACTACTATTTAAGTGAAAAAGCCACTGAGTTTTTTTGGGGGGATGAGAAGGTTGTTGAGGTGTGGAAGGTGGATGCCCTTTTCATCCTATTAAGTGGCCCTTTCCCTTTTTCAATTATATACTCAAAGAGGAGAAATCTGCTAGAGCATAGCAATGCGGGGCTTTACCTAGCATGGTTTTAATATTCATAATGTTTTAACTTCTTACTTATTATTTGTGAAATCTTCTACTACACCACAATACTGGGCTTAAAAGAAAGTACAATAGCCAAAAACTTGCCATTTTCCCACTGGTACAAACATAACCACCACATTCAGAAGTGTCTACTTTTACCTACCACTCCCTAAAAAGCAGCAAATAATTATAAAATTCAGACGAACTTCTGGAGACAATGGTGAAAGGAATGAACTTGTTATCAAAATATCATTACTAAAGCCTCATCCTCCAATGAGTTTGCCAGGGGCTGACCCCTGCACCTGCATGGAGCCCCATTCAGCTCCAAAGGGGCCCATAGGAGACCAGGAGTCTGCCCATACAGAGTTTATTGCAAGATAGATAAAATAAAACTTTAAAAATAAAACTACTGATTAAACAGCACTGATCTGCAATTCAAGTTAGGGAATCTGAACATCCCAGGGCACTACTGCAGGGGATGATGCACAGGGACAATGGACCTTCTTTCTTCCAAAAGGGACACTGAGCTGCTGTGTCCAGTACATCTTTGCTGCAAGGATTTTTTTATTTTGCCTCATTATTTTCCGCTCATCAGTTTTTGCGGGGATAATGGGAATAATCCCAGAAACCAGCACTCCCAAAATTCTGGATTGTACAAATAATAGAAATAAATACCTACTAAGCATACCTCTCAAATGGTACTTTTTACAAGGAACATAGAGTCACAGAATTTATGGCCAGAAGGGATCATCTAATCTGACTTCCTGCACATCACAGACCACCTACACCATGCAGTACCAACATACTAAGCTCAACTAAAACGAGTCCAAAGTATGACAATCCCCAGGATACTCGCCTGTTATGCATCACAGGTAGCAAATAGCTGGGATCAAGGTGCTTGAGTGCCCGAGGCTCCCACAGTAGCAGGGAAATGATTAACTGAGATACCCAAATATGGCAAGTGACCTGTACTGACACTACCGAGGAAAGCAAAAAACCTCTAAGGTCACTGTCAATCTGACCTGGGGGAAATTCTTTCCTGATCCCACTTATGGCAATCAGTTAGAAAAAAAAAACCTCCCAGAATGCATTGGTGGGGGGAGGGAAATCCCTTCCTGACCCTGACAGTGGCCGGCTGAAACCCTGAAGCATGAGCTTTAGGAACATAAAACATAAACTGGAAGTAAGCCTGTTGAGCCCTGCCCCTCACCATCACAATCAACCCTGTCATACCATAGCACTCATAAATTTGTTCAGCTCTCTCTTAAAATTAATTAATATCCTTCTCACCTCACTAACTCACTTTTTAATTATGTATATATAAAAACCAGAACTATGGAACCAAAATAATAGAACATGCTATCTTTGCTAAATAATTTACCCTCCACAGTTTTCTGAGCTTTTTGCAGTCACAACTTCCTTGCATTCTATTTTGAGGTTTGGCAAGATGAGAGGCAGAAGGGTTGCAAAATACTAGCTGGTGTCTATGCGTACCACTGTCCTCTACTGGATGAAATCAGACCTGCTCAAATGTTTGTGACTGATTCTCTTTTCCTAGCAGTTGGCCTACAAAAAATGATATAAACAACAGCTAATGACTATTCCCATTTAAGCTCCACAGGCCTGTGATCTAGAACAGAGTTGTTAATTCTATTCTCCAGGCCCTGTAGCTGTATAACTAGCAATTGTGATGTTTGCATAAGTATGTGACAATGGACGATTATTGTTATTATTTATTTGTATTACAGTAGCCCTCAAGGCCCTACCCTGATCATGGCCCTATTGTGCTATCTTACATGTAATAAAACAGTCCGTCCCAAAGAGTTTATAATCTAAACAAACAAGATGGGCACAGGGTGGGAGGGGCAGAGAGAGATGACATGATTTCCCCAAAGACTGGCAATGTAAGGCCCATGCACAAGTTACTCTGTCTTTGCCTGTGTGGAGCCAGGGGTTAGCCACAGAGCAGCTTGCATTATCAGTGTTTAAGTGATTTAAATTAAAATATGTACATAACTATAAATAAATCAAGGTATTGGGATTGCCTTCTGTTCTAGGATCTCCAGGATTGCTGTTATTTTACATAGGATGAGCCTGCATACTGCAAGCACTGTAGAATCAAGTATCAAGGCTTGTGAAACCTCTTGATGCAATGCACTAATGTCTTTTGGCACCGTGTGAAACTGTCCTTTGAGAGGGGTTAACTGGCAATCTTATGGGCCAGGAGTCTTTCGATTATAAAACACAGTTTTGTTAGATTGGCCCTTGCCCAGAGCTGACAATCCAGAGCAGTTGAGTATGGGCTCAGAGTAGGAGGGGGCCGATTTGCAGCTGATCAGAGATAGAAGGCCAGAGGGAGAGAGATGATGAGAATTTATGATGCACAATCTTTTCAAAGTGAAGTCCACGTATTTCCAAACGTTTAACGGGAGGTGGGCCAGATATCTGGATGCGAACTCTGCAAGGAGCTGGAGCCCGACTGGCTCCATATCTGTAAGGGTAAGTCCCAAATCCCTGGAGCCTGAGCTTTGGGGCTCTGGATCCAAATCTCAGTTCGGGGAGCAGGGTGGCGGCTGCTTGTGCATCAGGTGAGGCGCCTCCTCTAGCAGAGACACAGCCCTAGGTCTTCCCCAGGTCGCCATCCGTGGGAGCGACCAATTCTTTTGATCCTCCCCGCGGGACTCCAGGGCAGAGCGGCGGAACGGGAGCAGTTGGCTTCGCCTGGCGGGAGTTGTAGTTTTCCCTGCCCTTCTCCGCCCCGCAATTTCTCCCCCGAGAGACTACATTTCCCAGGAGGCGCCACAACCGCGGCTGGGTCAGCTGATCCATCACCTGTCCTGAGCAAGATGGCAGCCTCCATACTGCGGCGCTCGCTTCTAATTCCGCGCTGCAGAGCTGGGGATGTCGCCGCCCTGCACAGTGGACCGAGCCGGAGAAGGGCGCAGGCCCCAGAGCCCATCGCTTCTGGCCGGAGAGCGGGGAATTGTCCTGCGGGAGAGCGCGGGTAAGGCACAGGTTACTGGGGGTAGCGATAGCCTAGCGCAGAGTGCGCGGCTACAAGGCTAATAGGTTTCGGTCCGGCACATGCGCACCCCCATCGCTCCCCCTGCGGGATATTGCTGTCCTGTTTTCAAAGCCCGCGTTCCCTGCACACACACTGTGCCCAATATCCCAACTCTTCACTGTACCCATCTCACCACCCTGAAACTTCTGCCCCAGTTTCCCCGCCTCCTGCTATACTCCCCAATATCATGCCCTTATTTGGATTCCCCCACCGTTTCACATCTCATTAATAGTCCTCAGTTATTTTCAATATCAGCTCTCAAGTTATGTACCCCTTCCCCTCCAGTTTCATAACCTCACCACCCAAGTTTCCCCCTTCCTTTTCCCAGTTTCCCACCAGTTCTAGTAGATCTGACACTAGAACATCTTATTCCTGTTGCCAGAATAACTGGTTTTTAAGAACGTTCAGAATCAAAGGAGATTTTGGAAGCTCACCACCTGCCAGGATTTGAATTCGGGTTTGTTCTTTTCCTGCACCAGTTGATAATTTAAACATTATTTAACATAGGCATCAGGTGCAGTTGTATGCTACAGTGATTGGCTTCTTAGATAAACCTAATATAGATAAAGCACCGTACAGAATTGTGGGGTCTTCCTGTTCAGGGAAGTTGCAGCTCTGATACAATCTGATGTTCATGTAGAGACCTTTGCACCTGAGTGGAAACCAAGGCTCTGACTATGTGCATCTGAATGCAGGATAAGGGCCTTAATGCAGAAAGCTTCTGGGGAAAAAACCACTATGTTAGAAGGGAGATTTTTAGGGGATATTTTCAGGTCAAAGTATGCCCAACATTTAGGTAAAAATAAGCTTTTTCCAAACTTGAGTCATGGAAATATTTCCATGAAATACTTGAAAATCCTAGTGAAAATCATTTTAAGCAATCATTTTTCTGCAGTGTTTGCAAACCAAACATTGCAGTATAGTTGTGAAATTGATTAGGAACAGGCTATAAACGCATATGAAACAGATCAGTTGTTTTTCAGAGTCTGAACTGAGATCAGAGGTTGAAATGAGAGGTGGTAAGTGAGAGAGGCTAAATTTCCACCTATTCACAACAAAGAAATGAGATGCCACTCTCAGTAGATTGTGCAGGTACTTGTAATTTCATCACACCTCTACTTTTGTGTGTACTTTGATCAACAATGAAGTAGTTTAATGTTGATATTAAAATTGACATAATTGATTCAAAATTAAGATTCTGTTCACATGAGTGTAAGCTGTCCACATTCATCAGAGCTATTGTTTCAGGTCTTCTGCAGATATAGACAAATATCATTGGTTTCAAACTTAATAGCTAGATACAGTACTTAATTTTTTTTTTTTAATGAAACCTGAGCCTTTGGAGCATAACACTGCAGCCACCATAAACAAGTAACTGCCTGCCAAGCCACCACAAGCCAGTCCAATATGATTCCTTGTTGAGATAAATGCAGAAAGAAAACAGCATAAATAATGAAAGCAAAGTTAGGTGCCCTAATGATGCAAACTCTTACTCATGTGCTTAACTTTACTATCATGAGTTGTCTTGTTAATTTTGTTCCCACTGGTTTCACTGAAATCAATGGGATTTCTCAAAGTAGTAAAGTTAAGCACCTGTAAGAGTTTTTGGATTTAGGGCCTTAGATATTCTACCTGCTGTCTGAAACATAGCTAATGAGCCTTGTTTTTACAAATATGATTTTGTAATCTCAGTCAACACATGGAGAAAAACTATTTGTTGTAAAATACTTTATTTAAATTCCTGAAAATAATCCTAAGTAACGATATTTCCATCCCATTTATTCAGTTTTTGGTAGTGATGTAGTCGGTGGTTGAAGGAGAGAGACAGAACCCTGAACTCAAGTCTTGACAGCTCAAGCTTATTGTGTTCACTTTTGAAAGAAATGCTGCATTTGATGTATTTGTTCAATGTTTTTCCATAGCCCACTTATCGACTACATCTAGGTACTTAATATTGCTTTAGTATCTTGTTATACAAACCTGACTTCACCAGTGAAATACTATATTTGTGTCACTTCATTTGTACAAGGCCAGATAATTACTCTCAGAAACTGTCAAGCAATTCACACTGTGAAGGTGACCCCCATCTCTTGCCTATGTAAAGGTTATGGATGTGAGAATTGCAATTACTTTTCAGATGATATGTAGAAGCTCATTCTTGTGGAGTATGTTCAGAGAGCAGTTGCTCTCCAGTGGAAATTATGATTTCTTTATTATCAGACTATTAATATTTATGCTAATACAGTACAAACCTTTTCCAACTTGCATGTGATTAGCTGATAATGTATACATAATTGATATGCCACCTGTTTGTTGGAGACTTATCAAAGTACATTAAATGCAATTCATATTTAAAATTTCTGTTGGGTATAAAATTGGGGATTGATCAAGCAAGCTGTTACTCACGTTGGTTTGCCTCATTGATGCTACTCATATGAGTAAGATTTCACGGTTTTAGACCTTTATTTTTTTTCTTACTTATATAATTGTGCTTACTTATCATCTCTACTTGTATATAATGAAAAAGTTTGCCTCATATTTCCCTTCAATATTTATTATGGATCAGCAGCGCAGTACTACCACATGGTATTGCAAGGGTTTTTTGATCTTGTAGTGTTTAGAAGTTTATGGAGGTTTAATAGAGTATATGCTAATCATATTTACTTTCCCCCTCTCTTTCAGTGTTGCTCCATGGGTAGCAGTGGTAGGTCTGGAAATTCATGCACAGATCAGTTCCAACTCAAAGCTTTTCTCTGGCTCCCAAGTCCAGTTTGCAGCACCACCTAATTCTTTGGTATCTTTCTTTGATGCTTCTCTACCAGGGACCTTACCAGTAAGTTACATTTCATCTTAATTTGTCTCATAAGAGAATCTTAACATTTTTTGTTGAGCAGCTACTTTGAAGCACAATTCTTATCTTTTGTTCTTCATAACAGTCTTTGTCTCTAGCACTGTTCTTTGTGTTCTAAAACTTTGGTTCGTTATTTTCTTTCTGTGTACTTACTCTATAACTTGATCACCATGGATATCTGACAACTCCTGCTAAGGAATTAAGTCAGAATATCTCTTTCAGAGATTGAATTAATGGCAATTTCTTTTTGCCATCAAAGTTGGTGTATTTGCACGGCAATGTTACTTTAGTTAATTTTGCTATATTTGGTTAGTATGAAGCACTGGAAGCTCGTTAAATGTGAGAAGACATATAAAATCCTACCAGTAAGGTTAAGATTTTGTCACAGTTATTTTTAGTAAAAGTCACCGGTTGTGGGTAATAAACAAAAATTCACAGAAGCTAAAATACTTTTAAAATACTTTAAGAAATAAAATTACTAAGACTAATTGGGTGGGGCCTGACGGGGGGATGACTGAAGCCTGAGCCCCATGGTGGGGATGAGAGACTCAGGCCTGCTGCTGGGAGGGGGGGAATCCAGCACCACCGCTCATGGCAGCTCAGGGCTGCTTTTTCTCTCTCTCT